TTTTTCTGCTAGTCTGGATTTGTACTTGCCCTGCCAATTTTTTCACAAAAACAAAATCATGCATTTTTAGGAACATATTCTATATGCAGTATAAGTTTTCAACACCGAAAAATAAGCACTCAGCAAGGACTGCTAGTCTGTATTTGCCTGGCCAATTTTTTTTCCCATTGGCCTCACCAAAACAAATTTACACAAAATTACACTGTTTTTTTTAGCAAAATATTCTATATTAAGTTTTCTCCCCTTAAAAACAATTGTGCAAAATGTAAGAGCATAAAAAGTTATGCATACACTCACAAAATTTCAATGAAACCTCATCTGTAACCACATAGATCATGCTAACTTGATGAAATCAATAGAATTTGATGACGCAAAACCCTATTTTTATGCATGCAAGACATAAAAATACATGCACAGAAGATGGGAGAGTCATAGAGGGGAATGGGATACGACATAGGCCGGATTCAAACTATCGTTCTCTTGTGCACTTTCACAACCCACTATGACAGAAATGTAACTTTTAGGAGTGCAAAAACAAATACGTATATACATTTTGAGCAATCAATCACCGGGCCCTTGAGAACGGGGAACTGGGGGTGCCGTGCAGTGGGCAGCCCGTACGGTGTGCCATGCGCTAATGGGCAAAACCCAGAGCGGGACAACTCTAATCAGCCAGGCTGGGAGGGATCAAGACTGATTTTTGCCACAGGGCATTTAGCGTTCCTGAAGAGGCACGGATGGGCTGGTGGGAGGGGGGTATTGTCTGCCACGGCTGTGCATTATAGGATTGAGCTCAAGTTTCCTTTGTGCGTCGATTTTTGTTGAGGGATTATGTTCTTTGAGAGAGTTGTGCGGGCAGGGGGACGGAGCGGAGGCGGAGCGGTGGAGGGAGGGTGCAGGGAGCCAGTGTCTTTGTTCCGAGAGAGGAGAGGGAGAGAGGATGTACAGGGAGAAAAGAAAGGCATAGCTCAATGAAGCGAGCATCTGTGTTATAATGTCATTGGGCTAGATGTCAAACAAGTCATGTAACCAGTCATGTAACAATTAAAAAAATCAATTTACCTCCCAAGAAGGAGCTGATCTCGAAGGCACTCCAGAAGCCCTGTCTGTGTTAATCTCCCTGGAAAGTTTCGAAATTCGTCTTCTCCTCTGGTTTTGCCACTTGAACCTGCGTGCAAAGTCTGAGACTTACAGATCGGATATTTGTATTCAGATTTAGGTTCAAATTCACACGTGGACATTTTTTACATGCATTCCACGCAGGCTCTCGATTAATAAAAGCTGCATGCATTTGCTGTTAAAAATAGTTTTCAATGAAGTACAGAAGAAACTTTCCAAAAGTATTTCATATCTGCTAGGCGTCTACAGACACTGGGCATTAAATACTAGGTAAATGTAATGTTTTTGCTCCACACAGGTTTTTGTCGCACATTTGGCGTTCCCAACTTGTTAAAGCATCACATTTGCATCGGATAACCAACATATAGCGCATCATTTGCATGCCTGAAAGTACACTTGAGTAACCGTAATTACACGTGACACCAATTACTCTGTTACTTTGTATTAAATTATAATGGAAAATTCCACTAGAGAATTGGAGCCTAATTGCATCTTAATTTGCATAATTTTGCATATTAATCACATCTCAGATGAATAATAAATTTCAGCAGATTTTTTAATTTATGCATAGATACAAAAACAAGTAAAAAATAATCCGTTGGGGGGAAAAAAAATCAGAAACTATTACTTTGGCATTTGCACTGATTCTCTCATTATCCAGCGTCAACGTAAAGTTACTATGTCACTCATACCGTGGTAACATATCCATACACGTATCTCTCATATTTCTGTGTACAAACTAGAAAAAGTGAGGTTATCTTAATTTGCATAATTTTGCATATTAATCACATCTCAGATGAATAATAAATTTCAGCAGATTTTTTAATTTATGCATAGATACAAAAACAAGTAAAAAATAATCCGTTGGGGGGAAAAAAAATCAGAAACTATTACTTTGGCATTTGCACTGATTCTCTCATTATCCAGCGTCAACGTAAAGTTACAGTGTGTCACTCATGACATGGTAACATTTTCATACATATACCTCTCATATTTTTGTGCACAAACCAATATAAGCCAGGCTTTAAATGTTTTGTAAGATAACGGTTTACAATACCATATCTCAAGTACAACACTATTCATGCATGAATGTTATTTGCACACTCTAAAAAATGCTGGGTTAAATACAACCCAGTGCTGGGTAAAATAGGGACAGACCCAGCAATTGGGTTGTATTTAACCCAGCATTTTTTAGAGTGTGCAAATAACATTCATGCATGAATAGTGTTGTACTTGAGATATGGTATTGTAAACCGTTATCTTACAAAACATTTAAAGCCTGGCTTATATTGGTTTGTGCACAAAAAAAAAAAGTATTGTTACATTTTTTGATCGTCTAATTTTGGAGAACTAGCTTCATATATGCCCTAAAAACCGCCAAAGCACTGTTTGATTGAGTCACTGAGCAAAATATAAGGATAACATTTTGTGAAGAGCATACATAATGCCGCGTTCGAGCGCAAACAAAGAGATTTGATCTCATGTAACGACATCCATACATTTAAGTGCGATTTTAGTGTCCAAATAACTTAATGCACGTTATATTGTCAACCTGAGACAACTTAGGTGAACAAAAATATGACATTCTGGCCAACATAGACTATTCACGTTAAACGAAAACTTGCACTGTATACTTTATTTATTTATAACTTCTCATAATAAATGCTACTTACATTGCAAGGCCATCCAGCAGC